ACACCGCTCGTGACCGGCCACCAACTGAAGTCCTGATCCGGGCCCTCTCCTAGCATCCACAGTCCTTTCTCAGAAGCGAACATGGCGCTCGGACTTCTGTCTCAATTCTTAAAGCTTTTGAAAACCAAACAGTTAGCTCAGCATGGTTTCAGTCAATACAGACTGATGGTATGGTAGTGTGAAATTTCCTTTCCAAAACTGTTTCAGTGGTTTCAGATTCTGGCCTGTCAGACTAATGTAAATTTACTGATACTGCTGGAGCTTGTCTACATTTCAATCACTTCACCGAAGAGCAAAGTCAGGTCAAGCAGGACTGTTGTATGTTAATGAGATTTACACTCAGAGCAGCCTTTGTTTAGAGAGAGGTTTTAACAGTCCCAAGGCACCAGGCTGGAATGGCTCTCAGAGGTATTGTGGAAACCTTTACACTTTAACTAATTTGTTCTTCTCGGCATCTGCCTTTCACTTTAAAAAATAATAAAAAAAAGACTGCTTCCTGGAAATTGGTTAGGCATTGTCTATTCACAGGAGAACGATGGGAAAATGGAAAACACCTTCTGGAGCAAGCAGATAAATTAAACATTAGTGTTTGAGCAAATAATGTGCCTCCAGTTTAATTACAGCTGAACAATGGTGCGGATCACTTGATTTCAGCAGCAGACTGACTTCGGTGAGGGCTCTGTGTTTTTAAAATACTCTGTTTGCAAGTTCTTCAGGACACAGGCCAGTACAAGAGAGTGTGAATGTGCAACGCACAGCCCAGCATGAAGTGAAATTATAAGGAACTATTGCAGAGAAGAATTAGGAAACCAGCCACTGGCAGCCCATTATAATTACGTAGCTTTCATTCCACCCTCCCTTTTCTTATTTTGACTTCTCTTTCCACACAGGATCTTGCCAACTCCTTTTTGAGAGAAAGAAAGGCAAAACATGGCTTTCATCTTACCTCTCCAACTTTCTTCCATTTTTCAGGGACTAAAGAGTTTAATTTCTGTCTTTCTTCTAACCCTTGACTTATTTTGGTCGACTTATTTGAACATTATCCAATCCAATCTCCTGACCTCTCCATTCCTTTTCCCCTGACTCTTCCCCCTTCTATAAAGATGCCATAGCCTCACTTACCATAAAGTAAATGAAATATAACCATCCTGCTTGCTTCTGCTATTATCATTCCTCCCTTCAGCTCCAAGCTCACTGAATCCACCGTCTGTAAAATTGCCTGGAGTCCCTCCCTCGTTTTAGCACAGGCCCTCTCCGAGTTTGACTTCACCTTTTGACACTCCATCAAAACTAGTCTTGTCCCAGCTTTTACCAACCTTTTCTTAGAGAAAGCCAGACCACTGTAGTCTGCCGTCTTCCCGATTTGCATCATCGCTGTTCAATGCAATCAACCATTCCTTTCTTCTTAAAAATGTCTCCCACCTCACTCCCCTGTCTCTTCTCTCCTGGCTGTTCAGCCTCCCATTGCTTCTGCAGAGAATTTTCCTCCCTCCTCCCATCTTTTGTGGGCTTTGAATGTGTTACCCCACATTTCCTTTGCTTTTGGGTTTTTTTTTTTTGCTGTACCTTTCCTCTGGTCGGTCTCATCCGCAGATTGTCCTATTTAGATTGATGAAACTTGGATCTGCTTTTCTGTTCCCAGCCTGCCTTTGCCTGCCCACATTAATATCTAGGTTTGTTTCGCCTTCATTTTGGATGGATGACTGTAAGATAACACTCTCTTCTAGCCAGGCACTTGCCTCTTTTTTCCCAGTCAGCTTCAACAACATCACATTCTGAGACTTGGCATTCTGACCCATGAACTGGTTACTATATTTTGAATATTTTGGTTGATGCCCTTTTCATGTCTTTCAAATGACTCGTCTTTTGCATCTTTAAGCTGCTTGCCTTTACTTTAAAGATATTTCACATCCTTGCTTCCCTTACCTGTCATTTTTCATTCAAGTTTGAGGCTGATTTCTGCTTCTGCTGATTCTGGCTTCCATGGTCCTCTTGTAAGTGCCTCAAACAACTGTTTCCTGCCTGTTCCCAGGCTATGCAGCATACTGGGGAAGAGCTTCATTAAACAGCCATAAATCTACTTCATTACACTTCTTAAATACCTCCTTAAAAATGTCTCTTGCCACAGGATTGGCAAAAAGCCAGTGGTTAGCTTAAGTACTGAGACTACTGCTTATAATCCCACCCAGGATTATTTCCTGTTGGTTGGTCAGTACCTATCTTTCTGTTTTGATTTCCAGGCTTTGGTGGCAAGGTTCATCATGTTGATCTGGAGCCCTGGTCCATTAGTTGAACAGGGAACATGCACATGGAAAAGAAGGGGTTTGTTTCATTGCTCAAAACTGAAGGACTACCCCTTCAGCTTGTTTTATTTCTCAACTAAATGTTGGCTCGTTGGAAGAGTAAAGCTATGATGTAGGCATTTGCAAGCAATAATATCAAAAACTTCAGTTATTTGTGGCATGATTCTTCATCCACTGAAGTTAGTGAGACTTTAAAATCCTCTCCAGAGAGAATTGTAGCAGACCCACAGGCTGAAAGATCTATTAAGTTAGGGTTAGTTTAGCAACCTAATCACCCCACTTGGATTCTGTAAAGTCTGAGGCTGAAACCCCACAAGGCATGACTCAGATCACACACTAATGATTATATAGATGCTCTTAGTTCTAGGATGTTTGTTTTTCTCTGTTGGAAATGCCCTTGTTCCTTCAAGTCTCATTGGAAAGATTCCCCAATTTCCATTCTATTGCACAAATGGCCTGCAGCATGCTTGTGCCTTGTTTAATATGGTTGGTGGTCATGAATGCTTACTCCAGAGGCATATTTAAATCTTTAGACCTTTCCACTTCGGTGCATGTGTTTGACCACGTATCTTTTTGTTTCCTCTGCAGGATCTGATACTTGCAGACTTCCTGCACTCAGACTCTGCCTGATTTAGCAGATGGTATAAAGCCAAGGCTGAGTCTGCTTGAGACTTCTGCCCACACTATAATGTCTTGTGCATTTCTATGTCTGGTTTCAAGTGACTCGACAACAGAGCTCCGGGTACTTAAATAGTGAAGGAATAAGAAGAGGCAGGGAGGTAGGAGGTGAGGTAAACTGTCTTCCTTTCCTAACATTGCCATCCAAATATAAGTGACAGCGTGAAGACCATGTTTTTCTTCTGCTTACAAAACTGACTATACAGATCATCCCTGCTTGTGAAAAGGGCTATTGCACAGCTTTTAAGAATGTGGAATATTTGGGCACTTATTTCCTATTAAAGGTACATGGGGAAGATGCTTTTTTGCATCCAGAAACTGGATTTGATGTGTGTGAGGAGCAAGGTGAGTGGGAGGATGGAGGATGAGGCAGGTTGTTATCTGTTCAGATTTTGCTGAGGACTTCTTACTGTAAAAACCTCTGTAAAACTGTGAACACTAGGGCCTGGTGGACTCCCTCTGAAGGCAGGCAGATCTTAAAATCTTTGGGCTTCTCTAATAATTGGGAGAGGATATTTTTCTGTTGCATACGAATTGCATCCTTTTTAGGGGCTAGAATCTGGGTGGGAATCTCTTCATACCTGGCAAGCTCCAAGGCTGTAAGCAATCATTTCCACCTAGAAATCGAAGTGCCCTCATGGGTTACATGGCCAGAACTCAGCTGCAGTTAGTAATAGTGTTTATAATGTGCCTCAAAAAATGTAAGGCACCAGCTTCAAATTGTGAAGACTTTTGCCCCTGCTGTTCCCACTAGAATGCTGTTCAAACCCCCACTGTCTCTGATGGCTAGAAACATCCTAATTTCCAGCCTACACGTATTTATGGCTGGTCTGCACATACTTATTCTTAACATGATGTTTCAGCATAAATAGATTTTCCCTTTTGTTGGTATTTTCCCCGTGGTATTTATGTAGAATAATCAAATTCTTCTTTTGGCTTTCTTTTTGCCAGGCTAAACAAGCCAAGATATTTAGTTTCCTCTTACAAGACAGCTTCTCCTGCCCTAATCTACCTTTCAGTATATCTTACTTGAACTTAAATTACCCACAATTTACAAGTAGTTCAGGTGAGATCTTGCTGGGCCCAATATAATAGCAGTAGCTCATCTCTGCTAGAATTACCTGGTATTTTCTGGAGTTGCATTTAGCTTTTTCATGGCTGTGTCACATTTGTGACTCTCAGTTCTCATGGGATGGACTAATAAACCTGGACCCTTCACCTCTGTCATTTCCAGCAGCTGCCACCTCACAGCAGAATTTCTCGGTATTAGCCCAGTCCCTGGCCTTGCATTTCATGCTATTGAATTTCATCTTGTTTTTCTCACTCCAGTTCTTGAGGTCATCTAGTTCTTCCTCTATGATAGCCTGATCTTTCTTTCTATTAAGGGTGCCTCTACAAACTTCAGTGGGGCCTTCTGAACACTCTTTTCGTTCTGTACTGAGGTCATTAATAAAAATTGTGTGGGAGTAGGCTCAAGACTTCAGGAATTGCAGTGACAGCCCAGTAGTTGTCTGAGGATATCTTTTCTACCTCAGGACTGCTGTAGAAATCCACAGCTTGTAATTTCCCATGTGGTACCTTGCTAGTGCTTCGTGAAGCACAGACTGTGGCTGCCCCAATTCCCTCAGCAGTTGTCTTATCAGAGAAAGCTGTTGTGTTAGTCGCATGTGATCCACTTTTGATGATTTTTTAAAATTTTCCTTCCATTTACTTTATTACTGCAGTATAGTAGCATGAGTAATGGACCCCTTAGTAGTATTTCTGAGCACTAGGTTTTGGACAAGCACTGAACAAAACTGATCCCTGCCCCAAGGAATATATTACAACTTTATTCTTTCTTTATTTTTTCTAAGGACTTGCAATGTGTTGAGTTCATAATAGATCTGCCCTGCCCAGTGGTTTCGCAGCTCTGTTTCATGTCTTTGATTTCTCTGGTTTGATCCAGAGTTGCAACTCTGGCTCCTACCTCTAATGCAGAGATCATACATTTATGCACAGTTTGCAAATCTGGAAAATACACATTTAATGTTGATGTAAAAACCCAGCTGTGTCCCTTTCTAAATACACATGCTATAATCTAGTGTACACATCAGTGAATTTCAGATCTTAAAAGTTAAGGGAATTTTAATTACTGATAAGCTTTGCTGTACTCCTGCTTGTTCCCCTTTGCTCCAGTCCTGGAGGGTGAAGATCCAGCTCACCTCACTCAACTTGGACTTCTGCTCTCCCTGTTGGGTCAGTCTTCCTGCACCCTCTCTAGTGTAAGCCAAGAACTGTTGCACGTATAAAACTTGGAGGGGAAGAAGGAAAACGGAGAAGTTTGGAGAGGTGTCCCAAAAATCTAGGAAGAAATCACTGGTAGTCACCACTGCCAGTATGGCTGCAACTTGGATGTTAAAATACTGGCTGGCATATATCTGTGCACATCTGTCCCTGGGAAAATCCTCCGTCGAACCAAGACCATGTGTGCTAAAATTCTGGTCCTCTCCTGATTTTATTCACTAGTTATTCAGCCTCAATTTTTTCTGTACTCTAGGAGTTTCAGATCCCATCCTCAGTCAGTGTTCAGCTCTTCATTGCCAACAAGAGGGGTTTTGGCTGGTGACTGAAGACAGCATGCGACCTTAAGCCTAGGGAGAATTGTGCCCAGTGAAGGCCTTAGGAGAGACTTCAGAGTAACCTAGCCTGTGTGCATTGTTCTTTGAAAACAGCTATAGTTTGGCCAACAACAGTGGTTGGGCTTACATAGTATGTGTCAGATCTCATTTTGTTGTGGAAAATGCAATCCTACGTGAAAGATTCAACTGCAGTTTATGGTAAAAATGTCTTTACTCTGCAAGAGCATAGGTGGACAGCTCTGATCATGGGAACAGGACTACCCAAGCTGACTCTTCTCTCCCTCAGCCATTACAAGGTTCACATTAATACTTGCAGTTTCAGACTACTGAGAGTCAATTACTTTTGGTTTTTGTTGGTCTCTGTTTTAAACTTTCCTTAACAGGAGGGATTTAAAAAAATGAAATTCACAGTACACATACACACACACACACAAGTTTGTCTTAAGGCAGTCCAAGTGCTCATCGATAGGCAGGGGACTGATTAATGTGGTGTTAGCGCTCAGTGCCGTGCATCTCTGCTTTCGTGACTTTCCTGATGCCAGCATGTGGCACTAGACTTGTGATAATGACTGGAAGGAAGAAGCATTTATTCTTGCATAGTGGGGTGCTTTTCAATCTTGCAGACAAAGGCATAACAAGATCCAGCGACTGAAAGTTGGACAAATTCAACCTTGAAATAAGACACAGTTTCCTAGCTGCAAGGAAAATTAAAGTTCAGAACAGCTTGCGAGAGGAAATGGTGGAATTGCCATTGCTTGGAGTATAGACAAGATTTGCTATCTCTCTGAAAAGGGTTTCTTTAATCCAGCATTTTGGAAGAGTTCTGTGATTTGTGTGTGCAGGAGGTCAGTTGAAAGGAGTTATAGCAGCGCTGTCTGGTCTTGGTGGGTGAATTACTGGATGTGATTAAATGACCTTTCTGGTTTGGGTCAGTGAACTTCTGTAATAAAAGGATTGGCTGCAATATGGAGAGGGCTGTGAGATGAAGCAATATCTGAGAGAAAATAAAAATGAACGTCTGTCTTACTGTCTTTTTGACTGTTAATAAGTAAAGTGTTGCTATTTACCAACTGTGTAGTTAAACCTGCATAAATGTTAATATCGAAGTATCTCAGTGGCAGAAGAGGACTTTGATTCTAAGCAGCTTTCTGTTTTTTAAGGATCTTTCTCTTTACGGTGTTTGTCATTTTGCCATGTATTCTTCATTAGAGCCCATTTTGTATCGATCTTCCTCTGGAAGGTGGTGGGAATGGAAAGTGCCTTCGACCACTGCAAAGTGCAGCATAACACACTGCTGCAAGTGTTACTATTTTTAGGTCCTAGGGGAAATCTGAAGCAATAATTATCATTATATTTTCATTCTCTTAGCCTTCAACAACAAACTGTAAAGGCTGTATTCAAACTGCCTGCTTTAAAGATCTTGAACAGAGTCCCAGAGAGAGAGCAGTCTGAATTGCTCCATGAAATTTTGATTTCTAAAATTCACCAAGTCTGAATATGTGCAAAATGTAGGGGATTTGAATGCAGCCTCAAAACGTCTGTGTTTTTCCCACACAATCATCTATCCAACTGTTTTATTTCAAGGAGATGCTCTCAACATGTTCCTGCAACTTTGATAGTGCTAGATAAGATATTCAGAAGTTATTAGCTGAACTCTGCTGCCTTTGAAGCCAACAGAAAAGCCTTCTCAGTGCTTTGATGGCAAAAGGATTAGGCCAGTAGTGAGTACTTTTTGAAGTCAAGTTCAGTTTCTTCTGTATTCACAAGGAGTAGAGTTTTGCAGTAACAGAGTGATCACCTACATAATTGTAATTTACAGCAGACAAAAGTATTTGGCAGTAAAGTATTAGTACCTGAAGTTTCTTGAGAAGTGGCAGGGTTCAGTTGTTCTTTTCTGTCCCTCTCCTGGTTTGGATCCTGTTGAAAATTCACTAGATGGTCTTTGGTAAGGAATTTAATCTTCCTTTGTCTCAGGTGCACTGTCTCCAAAATGGGAATATACCATGCTTTTCTAAAATCCATCCAATTTCTCTTCCTGCTTTTCATGCATGGGAGCATCTGGCAAGCTAAAGAGAGTTTGTGTCGCCTTGCTGGCAGGGCAATGATGATAGCTGGTTCTCCAGAGCTCTGCTCCATGGAAGTGCCACAGTAGATGGCTGGAGTTTCAAAAGAGTTCCTTTGTCTGGAGGTTAAGCTCTTAACATCTGGCTCCAACTGGAGGTGCCATGTGTTTGAAGATGAAAGGGAATGGAGTTCAGATGAAGATCATCTTGTAGAGGCTCTTTCTACATGAGATGGGTTGATGGTCTGGGTAGGTTGATAGTACAACTGTTGGGAAAAACAGCCAAGTAGGTTCTGTCCCTTTAGGTGTTAGTTGTCTTCACAACTGAAAAGTCTTCCCATCCAGTGCTGTAACGCATGAGCAATATTACCCATTTTTGTTTTGTGAGGCACCTGCAGGTTTTCCCCACAGACACAGAGCACACTTCATGCATCCTTGCCTTCAGGTCCACAGTGAATAACAGGAGTGTGCTTGGCTGGGAGTGGTACTTGGAAACTGCTTGAGCTTCTGGCCCATGCAGTCTGAAGGTGCCTGTTTATCTAGGACTAGATCCTGGCTGCAGTCCTGGACAGGACTCCAGGGCACCCCGTGTCCAGTGTATTGTCATCTAGAACTCCATTGGATGGAAAAAGGGAATAATTTTCTGTGTTCATGAGCACTGTTTTCTGCAGCGTTCCTTTGGAAACATGGCTGGAAGAGGTGCTTCCCAGCCGGCCAACTTCCGCAAGTCTCAGCAGGTGCAGTACTGCCCACTCCACATTCACTGCCAACACCCTGAATGCTGAGGATCTTGGGAGGTTGCCATTGAATTCAAAGTTGGAGCCAAGAGTAAATTTTATTTCTTTCAGAGAAGAATTATATAAAAGGCAGTGTAAGGGTTTCTATGCAGTGTTGTAAGGAAAAATTTCAAACCAGTAAACAGAGCCACTGGGTTTTTAAGGACAAACCCTTTTCTTCCAGCTGTTTTGCAGCCAGAAGGAACTAAGGAACAGAAAGGAAACTGGCTTTTATTTTTCATTGTCCATTGAAGTTACAAACTTGATAGATAATGAGTTTTATTAATCAAAATTATTAATAAAGTCTTTTAAAATGAGTTTTCTCTTTAATTGTTTTATTTTGTGAGACTTGCCTTGGTTACTGAAAACCTTGCGCTGCTCTGATAACCGCATGAAAGTCAGTAGCTTTAAGAGCTGGAAGGAGGGCTAAGCAGGTAAGAGGAGCGCTCTGTCGTTGTACCAGTGGGTTTGTGTTTACAGTTCATTAGTCCGTGTTTAAAAATACTATGCTGCCAATTTAAATCACAGCTGGATTCATACAAATTTTGAGATTATCGTTTGCTGAACAAAATCCTTCTTTTGCTTTAGCTTGCAGATTCGCTTGTGCCCTTGGAGATTAAGCCTGGTATTTCCTTAGCAACAGTTTCTGCTGTGTTGCATACTAAAGACAACAAGCATGTGCTGCAGGTACAGTATAATGGCAAAGGGAGAAAAATACCCTTACAGCAGGTTTCCTGCCATCTGGGACCCCAGCTGTTCTCATAAGGCAAGCCC